GAGGCTTTTAGTTTAATCTTCTATATACCGGTAAGTTTATGATCATTTAAGTAGCTACAAAACTGAGGTTAATAGGCCCTTTTTAAAGAGAAATAGCTTATCACTATAAATCCATAGCTAAATGTTGTCTGAAAAAATATTTTTGTTTTGTGCCCTTAACTCAATGGCCTCATATAGTTCAGCCTTCAAATTTTTTATACAGATATATGATTCTATTGTGGAGGTTAATAAGATATTTTTACATCTGAATTCTACCATACATATTATATACAATTATTTTTTCATTTTCACATATCATATGACTCCAACACTTTTGTAGGTAGTGATTTTCTTAAATGCAAGGAATACAATTTGTAAAAATCATTGAGAAAATAGTCAATAGCAAAGAAGCTATCATATTTCTTTCTTGTGTTCAGGAAACAGCAGAGAAGTCTCTTCACCAAGACTGCAGAACCATATTTTAATTTTTCATATACCATTTTATTCTAATAATCTGTACAATTTAATACGGTATTGACAACTAGCATTTCCTGCCACGAAAGGTGGTTTCCAATCCCTTTCATGTAGTATATTATCTATGTTTAATTATAGGTAACAAACCACACCCACTTCCAGCATTGTATTTCTTAAAGGTTTCATTTTCTTTATGAGTTTCTAAGAATAAGAATAAACTATAACATCCAACTAAATCCATAATCCGTCCAATAGTTAGATGTTGAAACTACATTTAATAATAAGATAAATGTAACGATAGAATAGATAAAATTAACATTATGTACCTCATCAAGATCTAAGGACTCTCCCATTTCTTGACGCTCATAATCACATTTAACTAAACGACATCTCTCAATAGGAATATGAGGAGCTAATTTCATTAACTGATAAAGAAATAAAAGAATAAATAGATATAGATTAACTTAAAATAAACCTCATAAGCTTTATCCAGTACTGTGGGTAGTAATTCATCTTTATGTACTTCAAGGAATGACTTCTTTAATTTACCAGTAACAGGATTATTACAATACAATATGATCTATAAGAAAATAAGTAAACAGTAAATACTTAGTCTGTCTCACTCTTACTAAACACATTTCTTTTTCAATTTGTTCTTTCTTTGTCCTCTGTCTTTTTTCCTCTGCCTCTAGTATTTCTGATCTCTCTTTATCTGTTAACTCTTTCATTGTCTCTCTATTGTCTCTAAATAATTATAAACAATAAGAGGTGTATGTAAGTGTGTGTGTATACATAATGTGTGTGTGTGTTCATTAGTACTTGTAATATATGACATATCCATCATTATATAGTCCTAATGAGTATGTGTCTGAAGTGATGGAATACCATGTCAATTCATTCTCAATATCAAGACATGATGTCCCAACTAGAAATGATTTACCCTAATAGAATCAGAGAGAATATTAATATGTGTATACTTCAATGATTATAACCTCTGAATAAGAGATATACTCAGTAGGAACTCCACTTAACTCTGACAACTGCAAAAACAATTAATAATTATATTGATACATGTTGTAATCAATCTTTATTATAATTTCTTACAGTACCTTTTTAATAAAATCCATAGGAAAATGATACTTATCCAGTATAATTTCTTCTATTGGATCAACTGAAAATTGTGATGGATGCCATCTTATAACATACATCTGCCTCTGTCCATAATCCATCTTCTTCTCTGGTCCTAATGAAATATAAATGCATAGAAATATATTAATTACTATAGATCCATCACGTAAAGTACAGTATGAGTATACTGAAAATACCATATAGTGCTTTAATTTGGCGGAGTTTTATTTTGGCAATTTGCAAGCAAAATCACCCAATATTAAAAGCACCAATCATTAATGCGCATGCTTAGTCATGCATGTGTACACAAAAATTGCCAAACGATTACAATTTTACAGCAAAATCACCAAAAACAAAACACTATACAGTATACTGAGATATACTGACCTTTCAGTGGTTCCACATACATTTCCCTAATGCCACTAGTATCAATCAACTCATTAAGATATACTCTACCAGGGGACACTCCATTTTTCTTACGTAATCTCATTCTACATAATAAGTCACATGATAGTCACATGATAGTCACATGATGCACTTACTTGTCTAATCCAAGGACACAGTCAATTCCTTGTACTTTTGCTTCTTCAATAATTTGTTCCTTAAATTCTCTCACTGGTGTATCCTCAGCAACAATAGACTCCATCATAAACTTTAAAAACTAAAAATAAAATAAAATTATAAGCAATAATTATTAATGTGTTTTACCTCTATACTGTTAACTTGTAATAAATATAATTTAATTCTGTGCTCTCCTATTCGTAATGGTCTGCCCAGTTTTACTATCAACTAGTATAAGCAAAGTAATAAAGAGATGAGTGTGTGTGTGTTCTTAGTCCTTACAATACAGTAGGTATAATGGAAAGAAGTGAATGATCAAATAAAATGCTAAACTACATGCTTACCTTTGATTCAGATAAATTCATTAATATCTTATTCTCATCCAGTCTCTCCAATTCATATACTTCATACCCATTGATTCCACACACTCTAAAACCAGTAGGTGGTACACCAATCAGTGGAACTAGCTCTTCCTTCAATTCAGCTAATGTTATTCTCTTATCAACTTGTACCTGTATCTCTGTATTGAATATAATGTTTATAACAATACAAATTAACAATTTATCATTACTTCTTTCTTTTTCTATATTCTCTTCCTTTGATATAACTTTCATTGTTATTCTTCCTTTTCTTCTATTAGTTGTAGTGGGTGTGCTAGCTTTAGGTCCAGGAGGTATTATAATGTACAGTAGTATTGAGTTGAAGTGAAATTCAATAAATTTGTACATCAAACTATCTCTGAATCCTTTTTGATAATCTTCAGGATCTGACGATACATACAGCAACTGAGTGTGTGACTGTGTGTGTGTGTAGAGGAAAGATGAATGTATATAAATGAATATCATTTTTAAAATAGAGACATTGGCTGAAATGCATGCTCAGTGACACATGGCTTTGAAGTACTTTTTGACAAAATCATAAAATAAAATCCCCACTAATATATACATGTATACCAACCAGTATATGCATGTATAATTATACAAAACTGCTGTAAGTTTAGTCATTTTTTTGATATTCACAAAACTAAAATCCTCTATGCTAAAAATGAAAGTAAACTTTGGATGGATAGGCAAAAGCTTAATCCCTCAAAAGTTTCCAGCTATAGTATAAATAAAGTATGAACTAACAGTACTGTGCCCTCTCATATCGAGTATCTTCTTTAAAGTACCTCCTACATCACTCCAGTCATCCTTCTCCCTCATCACTACTCTCATACATGATGAATTGAGATTACATGCCTAGAGAAGAAATGGACCAGATCAATGGAGGGAGGGAAGGAGAAAAATATCAGTATATCCTTCCTCTTACTTCTCCTATATGTTGTTTTAAGTTTTCAACAGTCCAACCTAGCCATACTCTCATTGCTTTAGGTGGTCCTACTACACCACTTGAAAGAGCAACCACTGATACTCTAATAGCTAGACCATAAAATACATGTACATGTAATCATAGATAATATTAGAGTAAATGCAAGGGATTGAAAACTTCTGTTTGTGGCAGGAAATGCTAGTTACCTACACCATAATAATTTTTCTATTTAAATTTTTACTATTTACAATAAGGATTCACCAAGAAAATTTTAATAGATTATAAACAGCACAGCTTCATAACAGTTTTTCTCAAATTGTGTTAATATTATGTACATCAAGCTTTGTTTTAATATCACATTCAAATGTGTCAATCATTGAACTGTAAAGAACAAGATACAAACAAAGGTCCTGCAAAAATTTTAAATTGATTATAAATCAGTCACCAAATCTGTCATCAGAGTAATTTTTGTTGCATGTTTTCCAATTATGTATACAATAGTTGGTAATAGTTAATTTCTGGTATTACTCCTTTTATACTCTCAAAAAACTACAACACCCCAATAACAGGTCAATGAATCAAACTTTACCCACAGTTATCAATATTATTTTGTTTCGAAAATTATAGGTAAACTGTAAGGGAGGTATCTGTAATGCTCCTAATTGTCATTGCAGAGGATGAACACAAGTCACTTTAGAATTATGGACACCAGACAGTGAAAGAAAATGTCCGCAAAGGGAAACACAACTGCCATATTTCCTTAAAATCTTTTCACCCTCAAATTCTATCCGCCCTTGGATTATATCAACACCATTAAGAAGACTGAATGAAATAATATTCGCCCTTAAATTACCGTATACGCCATATATTTCATGGGTATAACATTTCATTTTTTGGCTGCATTTTTGTATTTGCAAATAAAAATTTTGAGATTTTAATGTAATTACTACACCTACTATATAATCAGCACACTATTTTGCGGATTTTAATTTTGCAAATTTTTCCAAAACGTGAAAATCACAAAATTTAATCCCTGCCAAATATATGGCATATACGGTATTACCACATGTTGTGCATGTGCAGTAGTATTGATGCATACTGGGTAATTGCACATGTTAGCTGTAGAGGAAGCCCAAAAAGTTGGGGCAGCTGATAATAAAATGGAGCTGAAGTTATTAGTCTTCGCCCTTGAATACTATTTGCCCCTGCATGTATTGTACCAGCAGTGCTCTTCTGAAATTAATAGTACCAGTGGATAGAATTAAAAAAATACAATATGCCAGGCTACATAGGCAACCTAATGAGATACACAATGGAAGTTTCTATCCCTTTAATTTACTCTAATATCTATATGATGTAATTATAGGTAACAACGCACACCCACTTTCAGTATTGTATTTCTTAAAGATTTCATTTTCTTTACAAGTTTCTAAGAATAAACTATAACATCTAACTACATCCATAATCTGTCTAATAGTTAGATGTTGAAACTACATTAAATAATAAGATAATTATAACAATAGAATAGATAAAATTAACACTGTGTACCTCATCAAGATCTAAGGACTGTTCCATTTCTTGACGCTCATAATTATATTTAACCAAACGACATCTCTCAATAGGAATATGAGGAGCTAATTCTGCTGTCTGGTTAAGAAATAAAAGAATACATGGAAATAGATCAACTTAAAATATACCTCATAAGCTTTATCCAGCACTGTGGGTAGTAATTCATCTTTATGTACTTCAAGGAATAAACTGTTTAATTCCCCAGTAACAGGATGATTGAAATATAATATGATCTATAAAATAAAAATAAGTAAATAGTATATATTTAGTCTGTATCCCTCTTACTAAACACATTTCTTTTTCAATTTGTTCTTTCTTTTTTCTCTGTCTTTTTTTCTGTGCCTCCTGTAGTTCTGATCTTTCTTTATCTGTTAACTCTTTCAATTTCTCTCTATTGTCTCTAAATAATTATTATAAACAGTAAGAGGTGTATGTAAGTGTGTGTGTATACATAATGTGTGTGTGTGTTCATTAGTACTTGTAATATATGACATATCCATCATCATATAGTCCTAATGAGTATCTGTCTGAAGTGATGGAATACCATGTCAATTCATTCTCAATATCAAGACATGATATCTCAACTGGAAATGATTCGCCCTAATAGAGTCAGAGAGAGTACTAATATGTGTATGGTTCAATGATTATAACCTGTGTACAAAAGATATATATGGCAGGAACTCCACTTAACTCTGACAGCTGTAAAAACAATTAATAATTATACTGATACATGTATGTAATCAATCTTTACTATTATTGGCCTCGCCCAGCTTTGCGTAGGCGAGGACTAGGTACTCGCGGTTTGTCTGTCATTCATTCATTCATTCATTCTGTGTGCTCTTTTTTGTCTTTGAGAATGTATATCTTTGCAATCGCGTGCTCTAAATCTGTGAGAGCTTCTCTTCTGTTAGGAAAAGTCTTGCTTTAATGCCTTGAGATGTTTAGAGAGCAGCTCTAGCTAGTAGAAGCTTTTTATCTCACGAGAAAATGCCCAGCAATAGCAGTAGTACTCTGGAAGTAAATGACTCTTTTCCAGTAAATCAAGACTATTTATACATTTAATATGTGTGGAACTCTTTATATCTTTCTTGTTGGTGAGTTATAGCTTCTTGAATTTCAACCCAAGTGAACTGTAGGTAGTCTAAAGGTCCTAAACTCTCTCAAATCACTCAATTTACATCTAGGCAACAGTATTTGTGCCATTATAATGTCATATAGTGCTTATAAGAAGAGAAAAATATGAAACTTCCTTCTTGTTGCAGGGCTTGCTGCCATCTATGCTCAGAATGCTGCCATCAAATAATTAATTAATAGATCTAGTTGATGATGTCATACCACGCCTCCAATTTGGGAGTAGCTAGCTGGAGTAGCTTGCATACTGCAGTAGTCGGTAGATCTATGCAAGCTAGCTGCTATCCCTCAGGAGTACACTTGTTTTATATATGCAATTTGCATGTTTAAGTTCTTTTAATATTGATAATCAAACAGCTATAGGGGTGAGGCCACGCACTGTAGGTGTCTCATTTCTTACAGTACCTTTATAATAAAATCCCTATGAAAATGATACTTATCCAGTATAATTTCTTCTATTGGATCAACTGAACATTTTGATGGACGCCATCTTATCACATACACCTGCCTCTGTCCATAATCCATCTTCTTCTCTGGTCCTAATGAAATATACATGTAATATATTAACTACTATAGATCTATAATGTAAACTACAGTATGAGTACACTGAAAATACCATATAGTGCTTTAATTTGGTGGAGTTTTAGTTTGGCAACTGGAAAGCAAAATCACCCAATGTTAAAAGCACCAATCATTAATGTGCATGCTTAGTAATGCATGTGTACACAAAAATCGCCAAATTAAAAGCCACCAATTAAAATTTTACAGCAAAATCACCAAAACAAAACACTATACAGTATACTGAGATATACTGACCTTTCAGTCGTTCCACATACATTTCCCTAATGCTACTAGTATCAATCAACTCATCAAGATATACTCTACCAGGGGACACTCCATTCTTCTTACGTAATCTCATTCTACACAATAAGCCACATGATAATCACATGATAGTCACATGATGTACTTACTTGTCTAATTCAAGGACACAGTCAATTCCTTGTACTTTTGCTTCTTCAATAATTTGTTTCTTAAACTCTCTCACTAGTGTACCCTTAGCAACAGTACACTCCATCATAAACTTTAAAAACTAAAAATAAAATAAAATAAGTAATAGTAATTAATGTGCTTTTTATGGCTTTTACCTCTATACTGTTAACTTGTAATAAATACAATTTAATTCTGTACTCTCCTTCTTGTAATTCTCTACCCAGTCTTACTATCAACTAGTATAAACAAAGTAATTAAAGAGATGAGTGTGTGTGTGTTTTCTTAGTCCTTATAGTACAGTAGGTATAATGGAAAGAAGTGAATGATCAAACAACATGCTAAACTACACGCATACCTTTGATTCAGATAAATTCATTACTAACTCATCCAGTCTCTTCAATTCATATTCTTCATTACCACTGATTCCACACACTCTAAAACCAGTAGATGGTACACCAATCAGTGGAACTAGCTCCTCCTTCAATTGAGCTAATGTTATTCTCTTATCAACTTGTACCTGTACCTCTGTATTGAATATAATGTTTAATGACCTTTTTATGATAATACAAATTAATATTTCTATTTACTTCTTTCTTTCCCTTTATTTTCTTCTTCCATTGTTATAACTTTCATTATTATTTTTCCTTTTCTTCTATTAATTGTAGTAGGTGTGCTAGCTTTAGGTCCAGGAGGTATTGTAATGTCCAGTAATATTGAGTTGAAGTGAAATTCAATAAATTTGTACATCAAACTATCTCTGAATCCTTTTTCATAATCTTCAGGATCTGATGATACATACAGCAACTGAGTGTGTGATGACTGTGTGTGTAGAGGAAAGATGAATGTATATAAATGAATATCATTTTTAAAAAAGGCTGCAAAAGTCGTCGCAGCCATTTTTAAGTGGAGTAAATTCTACTTAGTAATGCTACCACATTGCTAATAGAGACATTGGCTGAAATGCATGCTCAATGACACATGGCTGTAAAGTACTTTTTGACAAAATCATAAAATAAAATCCCCACTAATACATACACTAGTATATATATATGCATGTATAATTGTACAAAACTACTGTAGGTTTAGTAATTTTGTTGATATTAACAAAACTACCGTAGATTGGAAATTTCGTTGTTAAAATATTTTCGTGGTTGAAGCATGGATAGTAGAGCAGAGCAGTAGAGCAGGGTACTATCCATGGTTGAAGTGACCCATAAAATCTTGACACATGAAATATTTTCTACAGCAAATAATTAGATTAGCGGAATTAGTCTATTCTAATAGAGCCTCGTGCTGGCAGGATACGCCTAATGAAGGCCTGAAGCTCTCACCCAAGAGGCTCCTTGTCAGTTTCAGTGCTGTCACGAGCAACTTCCATCGAATAGCTGTCCACCATTGTCAAGAGTTAGTAGCCACGTGTCCCATTTATGACGCATCCAAAATTTTGTGTTAAAAAAATTCATGGATGGGTCAACTAACGAAAATAAACACCTTGAAAAAATATCACACCAATTATTTTTAACACAAAAATTTCCCGATCTACGGTAAAATCCTCTATGCTAAAAATAAAAGTAAACTTTGGATGGATAGGCAAAAGTTTAATCTCTCAAAAGTGTCCAGCTATAGTATAAATAATGTATGAACTAACAGTACTATATCCTCTCATATCGAGTATCTCCTTTAAAGTACCTCCTACATCACTAATATCACTGAATGAAGTATCACTCCAGTAATCCTTCTCCCTCATTACTAGTCTCATACATGATGAATTGAGATTGTACGCCTAGAGAAAGAAATGGACCAGATCAATGGAGGGAGGGAAGGAGAAAAATATCAGTTTCCTCTTACTTCTCCTATATGTTGTTTTAAGTTTTCAACAGTCCAACCTAGCCATGCTCTCATTGCT